TTAACCCACTGCATTTTGGGGTCTTTTAGCTACAGCAGCTTAGCTGTATCCTAAGTCACTGTGTGGCCTTAGGCAAGGCACTTTACTTCTCGGACCCTCACTTCCCACATCTGTAAAATGAGGTCATGAGAGAACCTACTAGGATTCAGAGACGGCACCTGTAGAACCAGCTCGGAGAAGGCACACAGTCAGTGCCCGGCATCTCCACCCACGTGCCCCTGGCTGGCCCCGTGCAGGGGGCATTCTGACCTCCCCATCCTCTTCCTCCTTCTGATCCCCCAAGGCACTCAGCGCTGGCCCTGGACCCAACCTGGACCCAGATTTACACAAAAGCAGCATGTGGATGATTTTCAGACACCCCTCTCCTGCACTCTACAGATTGGAACACTGAGGTCTAGACGGGGGCAGGACTGGGCTCCAGCTCCACTGAGATTCTGGCAGAGTGGCGGCCGATCCAGTCCTTGGCAGCACTGGGCAGGGGTGGTCTCTGACGTAGGTGATCGGAGGGCACGTTCTCCCTCTACTTTCCCTCTTGCTGCCTCTGCTCCAGCCACACTGGCTTCCCCGTAGTTCCTCGTGACCCCCTCAGGGCCTTTGCACTTGCTCTTCCTCCAGTGGGCCTATTCTTCCCCTGGCTGCCTCCCCTCATCTTATATGTCCTCAGTTTAAGAATCACCTCTTCAGAGAGGCTTTCCCTGATTACCCTACGTTGGGCCCTTTGTAATCTTTTACTCTACCTCCTGTTTATTTTCCTCAATTGCAATATATTCATTTTAAATTTATTTTGTATATATATTTAAAGATTTTATTTATTTATTTTGAGAGAGGGGAAGGGAGGGAGAAAAAAGAGGGAGAGAAACATCAATGTGTTGTTGCATTTCACACGCCCCCTGCTGGGGACCTGGCCTGCAACCCAGGCATGTGCCCTACACTGGGAATCGAACAGGTGACCCTTTGGTTTGCAGGCCGGCGCTCAATTCTCTGAGCCACACCAGCCAGGGCTTTTTATTATTTAATTATTAAAAAAAAAATATTTGGCTTTGGCCAGTGTCTTCCTCTAGGCTGTTAAGCTCTGTGAGTACAGAGCTGTGGATGTGTATCTTGTTCACTGCTCCATTCCCATCACCCATCCCGGCCTTAACCTCGGTGGGTCCTCAAGACATAGTCACTATGTGAGTAGATGACTGTGTGCGTGAATGAACGTGCCAGGCCTGCATGTCCACTGTGACACTAAACTTGCATGACCGCCCTGTGCAAGATCCCAGTCTCCTTATTGTGCAGATGCAGAAAGGGAGGCTCAGAGAGGTCTCGCCAGACTGGGCAGGAATGGGTTGGATACTAAAGGCCTTTGGACTTCCCTGCCCTCAGGCCACGTGAAGACATCAGCTGTGCATTCCCACATTAGTCTAACACAAGAAAGCAACATATTTATGCGGGACATGGCCTGGACCAGGCTCCATTCTCTGAAGGGCTGCTCCATCAAACGCTGCTGCAGGTATTGCCAAAGCAACACTGATAGCTTCCTGAAGCATTTGTAAATGGCGGAGGTGAAGGCTCACACTGACATTGAGGGTTGGAAGATCTGGACAAAGGGGTCAAATCCCCCAGCCCCCAAGACAATCCATCCTTATGCCGGCTCCTCCCCTATCCCCTGCCAAGGACCACCTTCTACCCGGCTGCCGTCTCTGGGGTATGCACAGTGAACTCTCTTGCCCGTCCGGGCATGGAAACTGCCTGTCCTGGGAGCTTGCAGAGGATCTTCCTTCTGTCCGTCTGGTTCCATCAGGACTTACCAGGTGCCAGTGGGAAAGACAGACAGGTCTTAGAGAGCTTTCCAGAAAGTTTCCTCAGCCCCTGATTTTGGTGAAGGGGACACCACTCTGGCATTTTTGTGGTCGGTGCCAAGATGCCTGCAGAGAGCTCTGGACGAGGGAGGCAGCTGATAGACACATGGGCACTGGAGGGGGTGACTGGCTGTGCCGCCTCGGAGGAAGCCCCTCCCTTCTCTGAGCTTGAATTTCTTCATCACTGAAACAGGGAGAACACTGGTCTGCTGTCGGGAGAGGTGACAAGGATTCTGCACAGGAACCTGCAGGTGCAGGTATCCCAGAAGCCAGTTCCTATGAGCAGTGGCTCTCAGGAGACCCAGCTAGTGCCAAGGCCACACCCGCCATGCCCCCCACAGGGCATTGAGCTGCTTGTGGTCCTTCAGCTGGTCGTTTCTGCAGCCATGATGACTCAGCATCATGTCAGGAGGGCTTTTAGAGGTCTGCAGGTGTCCCGTCCTTACTGCACGGGTGGAGAACGGAGGCTTATCGAGGACGAGGGACTCTGTTCTTGGGGGAGACCGGTGCTATGAACCAGGGACTGACATTTCCTAGGCAGGACACAGCTGTGTCCTTGATAGTCTGGGGCAACCTGGGGATGAGCTGGAGCCGGGGGCGAGGCCTTGGGGTCAGGAGGCAGAGATGGAGAGAAAAGGGATGGGAGTCACAGAGACGGATGGAGAAAAGTGATCACTGGTACTTGCCTTCCCAGCATCGCTGCTCCCGGAAACAGTGTTGGTTTCCCCACTGCTCATCCACATGACTTGGGTGGGACTAATGCTGCTCCCTGGTCCCAGGCATAATCATGTGACCCAGGTCTGGTCAATGAGAATCACAGTGACAAGTGCGGGGATGGGCACGGGACCAGGCCTGGCTGGAGGGAATCATGCCTTTGCTGGGACTCTCTGTCTTAGGGATGCTGAGCTGGGAGGATGTGAGCTCAGGGCTGGTGGGGCCGCCTTGTCAGGAGAGAATATGACTGGAAATAAAGTCAACACGACAGAACCAAGAAATGGAGAGGGATGTCATTTGAGTCCCCTGGATCTAACTGCACCTGAATCTACTTTAGACTTCTTGTTATGTGAGCCAATCCGTTCCTTAGGACAGAGTTTTGAATAGCTGAGCTGGAGGGTCCTGTCTCAGAGGAGGGAGGAAGGTAAGAGGGAAGGGTGAATATTTAAGAACAGTGTCTGAGAGTAACCCAAATCAGCTTCTTGGCCTTTTTAGAGAACTGGAGTGCAGACAGGGATTTGGGCCTTCACCCCGTCCAGACGAGTCTGTGCCCTTGGGACCATAGTTTCACCATCGTCTTCTCTCCAGCACATGGCCCTATGAAAATAAATGCTGTGGACACAGCAATAAGTGCTTGCCTTGCCTGGGTCCAGGAGAAGGGATGACACGCACTAGGGGTCGATTTCTCACCCCGTTCGTCTCTTTGGGAACTAGTGTTTATGAGGCACCTGCTTCGTGCCAGGCTCTGTCCTGTAGTTGACATACATGGCCTCATCCCCTCCCTGCCTCAGCCCGGAGAGGGTGACTGCCATCCTCTCCGTTTCACAGACGAGACAACGGAGGCCTCGAGAGGCTGGGCCATGGGCCTCAAGTCAAAGAACTGGAGCGTGTCTGTCCGACTCCAAGCCCTGCCCACAATACCACCCAGGGGTGCCCAACCTTTTGGCATCTCTGGGCCACACATTAAATCCACTGCGACACGTAATCACAAAAAAAAAAGTCTCATAATGTTTTAAGTAAATTTACGATTTGGTGTTGGGCCGCATTCACAGCCATACTGGGCTGCATGCAGCCGCGTGCTGCAGGTTGGACACCCAATAACACAGGAGGCCCCTCTGGGATTGAAGAGGGTGACACAGTGATGAGGGGTGGGTGGCAGAGAGGCTGTGGTCCCTCTCTGAACTTGTCCGCAGAAAGAAGCTCATGAGGGGCCCCTGGTCTCCTAGACCTCTAGGTGTAGCACCATGTTTGGTGGGGCAGGAGGCAAGGGCTAGGAGCTCCTGGGTTAGGCCTGGGAGGACCTGGACCCGGAGGCTGGTGTCCTGCCCAAGGCCGTGGGGACAGTCCCGGCAGTGCCTGTACTTGAGCTGGGCGAGCTGGGCTGGGCCGAGCTGGACTTACAGGGAGTGCCGGGGGCAGCCCTAGGCAGAGGGCTAGCTTCCTGGGGCAGAAGGAGCCTTGGAGAACACTAGCCCATGACATAGACAGGAAACTTAGTTCTAGACCCTTCTTCAGGGATGCTGTGTGTCTGTCTTAATTAAAAATTTCCTTCCAGTTGTTTTTAGAGACTGTTTGAGACCGTCACTGTGGTTTTTATAGACAGAAAGGGTGAGTAGCTGGGGGCTGGGGTGTGGTGCGCTGGGGCTCTGCCTCATGACACTGCAGGACTAGTTTTCTCCAAGGGCATCCACAGCCCCGAGAGATGCTTTGGAATAAACAGAGCCCATTACTCAAATAAGTAAATTTGGAGAGAGCTGTCCACCCTAGCCTCTACATAGGCAGTCACATTAAAGGCTCTGATAAGACCTGCAGCTAAGAATGCCTGTTCGCTTGATTTCACCTGCTGCTGCCCTCTCACTTGACCATAGGCACTTTGAGAGGGGAGTCGGAGTTATTTTCTGTGGGACACATTCAGGACCTGCTGAGGGTAAAGGAATCTTCCTTAGATGTCCCGGGTCCCCTGAGGGACCAGGGCTGAGCTCCAGATATTGGGGCCTAAGAGCAGCTGACGGTGGAGGGTGAAAATAATGACTCCTACTTTGGGTCATATGCAGCCTTGGACAGGAAGTTCAAGGACATCTCAAGGCTGAGAAAACTTGGGACAGGAGATGGCCTTCCCATCAACCCTGGGGACAGAACCTGGGTCTCCATCTGAGCAGTTCCAGTCTGCAAACACCTTCCCACCTGTCTGAAATTCTGCCATCGGCCACGCACTCCTTGGAGGAGCCAAGTCGTCTGTTCCCAGCTCATTCAGGAGCACGTGACCCTCACACTGACAGGGGGCCCCTGCGGAAGACTGGAGAGGAGAGAAAGAGGGATCCTGCAGAGAAAGGGACCCCTAAACGCCCACTGTTTCACAACCTGAGGGGGATAGGCAGGCAGCTGACTCTTGGGGACTCCTGGGGCAAGAAGGGTTTGCTCAGGAGATCCAGGTGTCCGGCTCAGGCCCTGGCGCTGTGTCCTGTGTTTGGGCTCTGCTTGTCCAGGGAATACTGAGTCCTGTCTCCTCGTGTGGGTCCAGCCTCCACGCGCAGCCGCCGTCAGATGTCGGCAGGACGCACCATCATGCGAGTGGCACGCAGTGAGTAGCTGGCGCCCTGGAAGTAGTGCCAGCGGATCCCGTTGAGCTTGCGGACGTGGTTGTGAGCTGGGTAGTAGATGCCGTTGAGGTTTGAGAGGCCACAGGCATCAAACCACCACCCTGGTGGAAGGGAGGAAGAGGCTCTGGGGAGCGGGAGGCCCCCCAGTGGGGTGAAGGCAGCCCCCAACCCCAAGGACTAATCAGGCTGCTGCCTCCGCCAAGAAGCCAGCTCATGGGAGATGGGGTTAGGTGGGAGTGGGCATGGGGATGCGAGGGAGACTCCCAGACGCCCCGCCTAAGGCCGATGGAGGGTGGCCCTGGGCTCCAGCTACAACCTCTCGGCCCCTCCGCTGCCCAACCGTTTCCCTAACCCCTCTGTGTCCTAGTCTCCTCCCCTTGCCAACCTCTTTCCTACTCCCTCAAAGTCTCCATTTCTGTCTCTCCATGGGTTTCTAATGCTCTTTGTCATTGTGAGTCTCTCACACTCCGGGTTTGTCTCTCTCTCTCTCTCTCTCTGATGGTCCCTGTGCAGTCTGTCAGTCTGCAGGTCTCTCTTAAACTGTGCTCATCTCTGCCTGTTGGTTACCGCCTCTGTCTTTCTGGGTCTGTCTGTTTCTTACACAGTGTGCCTCTCTCTGTCTTTCCTTGGTCTGCGTTTTTCTCTCCATCTATCCCTTTGTAATTCTGTCTCCACGTAGCGCTGTCTCCACTGCTCTGTCTCTGTGCCAGTTCCGGTGTTTCTCTGTCTCCATCTGCTCCTGCCTCTGTGTCTCTCCTACCTCCCACTGTGGGTAGATGGGGCTTCCCCTCACCCAGCACCCACCTCCGGACAACATCTGGGCGCACTTGCAGAGGCAGTTGTCATTGTCTGCGTCCTGGGTGCTGAAGTTGGTGCCCTGCAGGACCAGGCTGCTCTGGCGCCCCGCTGAGCCGCTATACCCGCTCAGGGAAAGCCTGGAAGCCACCGGAGGTGGTGGTGGGAGAGGGGCCCAGAGTCAGGTTGTGCTGGCTGAGGAAGGGGCTCTGATCTGGTTGTTCTGGGTGGGGGGAGCCCCAGCCTGGGGTGCTTGGCCCATCTTCCCTCCTAGATTGCCCTCCCTGGCTGCTGCCTCTCAGGGACGGAGCACCAACTGTTTGCCAGGCTTCCCTCATCTCGCTGAACCTGAGTCTTACACGGGAGTGAGCATGGTTATGATAATAAGATAGTGAGGACAACGGCTAACATTTTAAAAAACATCTACCATGTGCCAGGCATTGTTCAAAACACTTTACATGGTTTAACTCATCTCGTTTAAGCCTCACAACACTCAATTATTTCCATGTTATAGATGAGAAAACAAAGATCCTAAAAACCAAAGGAGACTACCTAAGGTCTCGGAACAAATGAGCGTGAGAGCCAGATCTCAGCCCTTTGGGGCCTGACTTGGGAGCTACATGCATTTTCTTGCCCAGCTGACCATCTGCGACCCCAGCCCCATCATACCCCCTTACATCCACCCACCTCCTCCAGGAAGCCTTCTCTGACCACACCAGCCCCCTTGGACCTCTGCCCTGGGTGAGCCCCTATTCCTGCGACTTCCACCTCTGCAGCCAGCTGGGGAGGGTTTCTATTTCTCTGCCAGGCTGTGAGTCTCAGCTCTGCCACTCGCCAGTTGCCTGACCTTGGGCAGACTGCTTCACATCTCAGCTTCAGTTTCCTCAGCAGTTAAGGTGGTAATGATAGTATATTAACAGTGAGGACTTCAATCAGCTGTTGTGATTCGATGACTTCAGTGCGTGATGGGCGCAGAGCAGCGCTGACGCATGATAAACGCTCAGCACAGGTAGTGTTGCTTGTCATTTGTTCCTGTGTCCCTGGCCCTTGGCACAAAGCTGGCCCAGGCCTCCACTTGCCTGGTTGGAGAGTGTTGAGTGCTTGTAGCACAGAAGGGGCTGCGCTTGTCCCTGAAATGAGCAGCCAATTTTGGAACAATTAAGAAGGTCCTACAGGTGAAGGCAAGTGGATGCCAGACATGGCCAGGGCAGCTCAGGGAAGCTCTGGTTCTTCCAGGGCAGGGCCTGGGAGATTTTCCCAGTGGGATCCAGAAGGAATGTAGGACCTGGACATATGCCTGGCTAGGTCCCTTCACCTCCCACCATGGGCTCTACCTGTGGTGGGGCAGGGGCATGTCTCTCAGGGTCCAGATGGCTGCGGCCAGCCTTGAAGCTCTCACTGTGCCCTTAAACATGCCACCTGGGGCTCAGTTGGCTGGTGTTACAAACTGCCTGCCACGAGGCCCATCTGAATATGGACTCCCAGGGTGGGGCAGGCAGACTGGTCCCCCTGCTCGTATGCTAATATAGTCCTGACTTTTCCTTGTGGCCATTGAGGGTGCCTCATGAAGGCTCAGCGATGTCAGTTCGGAGCCAGGCGTGGAGACAGGGTAAGGTTTGGGGTCAGACTCAGTCTGGGGCTGCGCAAAATCAGGGCTGAACAAAGCCGATTGTCCTCATGGGTCACTCCAGCAGCACTGGCCTCTCTACTGTGCCCAGGTCCCCAGTTCAGGCTCTGCCTCTCTTCTTCTCCCCTTTGGCAGCCAGCATGAGCATCTGTGACCTCTGGGGAACCCCCAAGTCATGGGTCAGGAAACCCCAATTGCCCCATTGCTCAAATGTATTTGAATATGTTTGTAGCTCAGTCCTGGGGAACCCAAACAAACCCACAGCTCTCTGGGGGTCCCCAAGTTGGACACATCAGGTGTGTCTTCCATGTGTCTGTGGATCTGTGCCTGAGTCTATGTGTCTGCAGTGTGAACATTTGGATAGCCTCTTCCTGCCTGTGTGTGTTTTGTTCGCGTTGGTGCTAGACTGTCCATTGTGGGTCTGAGGGTGTGCTCTGCCTTTGTGCCTGGGGCTGTCGTGTTTTACTTGAGAGGGCTCCTGTGAAGGACATTTGTACACGTGTCTGGGTGTGGCCTGTGTTTCTCTGTGTAGCTATGCCCTTGTATGATACTGTGCTCTGCGTGTACCCCAGGGGTGTGGCGAACCCCTGCCTGTGTGCATGCATGTCTATCTTGGATGTGTAATCAGGTCTGGTGGGTGCCTCTGGGAAGCATGTGCCCAGTATCTGGCCTGTGCCACCCTTCTTCCCTCCTCATGGGCCACTTTCTTTTTGGGCTTATGCATGCACCCCAGCTGGGCTCCAGCAGCCCCCAAGATTGTGACTGACAAATAAGGGTGGCCCTCCCGCCGCTGCTGCCCATGCCCAGCTGCTGGCTGCCAATGCATTGCTGCCTCTGGGCTTCCCTGTGGGAACCCTCCCAACCTCACCAGCTGGCTGATTCTGTATGGTGGTGGCACGGGACCAGCGGCTGTTCTGCCACTTTCCCCCTGGCCCTCCTTTGGCAGTTTCCAGGCCCCACTGTGCTTTCCAGGGTCTCTACCCCAAGTCCCCTAAGCTTTTTCTGAATGAGTGGGACTCTTCCTTATGATCTCAGCAGCCTTCCAAAGAGCCTTGCTCAGGTTTCAGGTAACTGTGTCCAGCCAAATGTCAGCTCTCTCTCCGTCGTTTTTCAGAACATTTTTACCATCTGAGATGTCCTTCCTATTCTCCCTTCATCTGGAGAATGCCCACCTATGGCAGATATGACCACAGGGCCTCAGTTTCCAACATCCCTAAACTAGGTAGAGCAGAGTGTTGAGGGAGGTTAAATAATGTGCCTGGAACATGGTAGGTGCTCAATAGATGCTTATCCCTTTTCCTAAACAGAGCCAAGAGCCAAGCTGAAGGAGGGAGACCTTAATGATATTATAATATGCTCATATTTAAGCTCATCTTGTTGTTAAGAAGCAGAGGAGCAGAGACGCCAGAGCCTTGACTCATCCAAGGTCACAAAGTGAGCTGGAGCAGAGCCAGAATGAGCCCAGGTCCCTGGACTCCCAGCCCAGAGATCTTTCCATCTCTCCCCACAGCATAAGACAGGCTGGGGAAGTTGCCTCTCCTCTTCTGGGCCTCTGTGAAATGACTGTCTTAGGGTGATTGACCTTGGAAGGTCCTTCCTGCGCTGAGAGATGGCAGCATCAGCAACATTTTCCCCACCCCACCCCGCCCCTGCAGTGGCTGGGATGTGCTGAGTGCTAACCAGCTGCCTCCAGATCCTGTGACGTGTGCCCGAATGGGAGACAGATGGTAGGAAGAGGAAACGCCCCGGGACTGACCCTTGGTGCAGACTCGGTAGTTACTAGCCAAGGGTCCTCAGCCCACCCACCAGCCTGGGCCCCGAGCCCACCTGTACAGCTGCTCCTCGCTGCCCAGCTGGAAATGCTCATACTGGGCATAGGCCTTGTTGCCTTCCCAGTCTTGCAGCTCCAGACGCAGAGAGTAGGCTGCCCTGCTGGTGAGCTTGTGCACCAACTCGTTGCCCAGCCAGTGCTCCCCAGCCGGGTCCCCGAAGCCCTAGGAGGAGAGGGGGGTCAGGGTGGGCTGTATGCTAAAGAGCAGGGCTGGGCCAGGGTCTGGGGCCACTTATCCAAAACCACTGTGCCTGGTGATCAAGTTCATAAAGTACAGTGTGGGCAGACTTGGGGGGAGGGAAGCTCCCCAACTCCTAGAGCAAAAAGACTAAGATTTTTGCAAATGTAAAAACCTGTAAAAAATAATTGAATCACGTTTCTATTAAGTTTAAGAACAGGCAAAACTAATCTGTGTTGATAGAAGTCAGAATAACGACTTCCTTTGGGGGAGTGCTCACTGGAGGGGGCGCAAGGAGGCTCCAGGGGTGCTGGAAGCGCCGTGTATACAGCTCAGAACGGCGGGTACATGGGTGAATACATATGTAAAAATTTACTGAGCCTGAAATACTTAATACTCGTGCATTTAGCAATTTAAAAATTAAAGATTTTATTCAGCTGCATAAATGGTAGAGCAAACATTGTTCGGTGACATGGGAGCCACTGTAAAATTTCAGCAATACAGAACAAAAAGGAAAAGGGACTCACGGAAATGAACAACAGGGTGGCGGTTGGTGGGGGGCAGGGGGATATAAGAGGGATAAATGGTAATGGAAAAATACAATAAACATAAAGAAAGAAAAAATACTTTAAATAGTGAAGAAAAAAATTGAGCAACATGGAAATATAAAGAAATAGAGGAGCCAACGGTGTCCTAGGATGACAAACCAATGACCTTGGTGAGAACAAGGATTCAGCACCAAGGACAGGGCACACCGAACCCCCAACTCCCCATTTTAGTCTTGCTGGCCTCTGATTACCGAAAGCTCAGCACTCTTTCGTGTATTTTTGCATCGGAGCACCCTGTATCTCTGCTATTCTAAAGGCTATTTAAAACCCAATAGGTTCAAGAACACTCATAGCTTATATCAAATGAACAGCAAGCAGCCACAAAAAATAACATTGTTGCAATTCCTCGTGGGTACTTTTGTTCATTTGTTTTGCCTTCGAAAACTTTTGAGTTTTTTCAGCCATCTTGCCAAAAATTCTTTATTCAAAATTTAATTTTAAAAATTGGAAAACAATTGAGCATTATTTCTCATCTTGTAAAATGCACATGGTCTTTGAGCCAGCAATTCCACATTGCAGAATCTCTCCTGCAGGTGTGGTGACGGAAGTGTACAAAGACAAGGAAATTCATTTAAGCAATTCAGCCAGGGGTGGGAGAAGGAGATTACTCTTTTTCTGTTGCGTTTTTTGGTATTTAGGTTTTTAAAATCAGTGTATATACATTATCTTTTCTAAAAATTAGAACAGAAATTTAAACTTTCATTATTAGGATATATGCTAGAACTTGCAAAAAAAAAAAAAAAAAAAGGTTAAATTTCAGAGCATGGATTTCCTGAAAGGTAAAGGGTGAATCATTCCCCTGTCTACAACCCACCTCCGAAACCAGGTTTCAGGGCTGAAAAACCCTTCCTCAGGGCAGTAATGTTACCTGTTTATAATCTTTCCATTTCCGCTGAAAATTCACGCTGCCATTCTCACGGCGCTGGATGAGGGTCCATCCACCTCCACTGGTATCCATGTCACAGAAAACCTGAGGGAATTGGTGGGAGGCGGGGGCTGGGAGCCCTTGGAGGCAGCAGGAAGCCAGGTATGGGCCAGCCCACGTGTGATCTGGCCAACTTGACGGCAGGCGAGCCTGGCGGTCAAGGGCATCAGAAGGATCCAGGCTCAGATTCCCCACCCACTGTCATCACTTTTCCAGGGGGCAAGCGATGGCCTCTCAGAGCCTTGCTTCCCTCATTTGTAAAATGGGACAGAAATACTTTAACCTCCTTGTGCCTTGGTTTCTCCTCTGCAAACTGGGGTTGTTGTAAGAATTAAATGAGATGAATCATCTCAAGAACGATCTGAATAAACATAGGCTTTTCACTCGCTATCACTGCGGGGCTGGTGTAAGGATTGAATGCTGGTAGGTGTGAAGTGCTTGGCACCCAGTATAGACTCAAGAAATGCTATTCCATTCAGTGGACAAATGTTTTCTGAGCACTTCCTGTGTGCCAGGCTCCATTCAAGGCACCAGGTGCCAATATGGATAAGAAAAGAAGAGTTCTTCCTCTCAAACTGCATACCATCTACCACAATCACATCTTTCAGTCTACATTTGTTCACATGTTATTTTTTTTCCAGCCAATGCATTACATGGTCAGTGTTCAGTGAGGACAAACTTGGTACCTAGCCCTGGATGAGAAGAGTCAGAGAAAAATCAGACATAAATCAACCCTCGGTGTTGACTTGATTCGGAGGAGACTATGATAATGCAGGCAGATAATTGATGACAAACATTTGGGCAGCTGCAAGGAGAGTCCCCATGAAGGAGTCACTGGAAAACCCTGGGAGGCTTCCCAGAGGACATGCCATTGGAACGGGGCCTTGGTCGATAATGCGTCTGCTGGGTAGAGACAAGTGGGAATGGAGTTTCCAGTGGAAGGAGAAGCAGGAGTAGAGGCTCTGAGATGGGAAAGGCCTGCTCAGTGAGGGAAGACAGCGGCATCTGCTGTGGGGGTGGCTGAGGGTGCAGTAAGGGAAACTGAGGCCCAGAGAGGGGAAGGGACTTGCTCAAGGCAAGCGAGTCTAAAGTAAAATTTAGGTTTGATTCCAGATCTCTTGCCTCCTAGGCTAGCTCTCCCCTCTCTATCAGTGTTCCCAAATTTCAGCCATTCACAGCTCCCCAAATTCTACCAAAGCTAAATACTTAATTTCATATGGAATATTTACTTAAAAAATGGTATCCCTCCTTTTTTTTCCCCCACTAGCGTAATACTTAGACCAAATGTATTTTAAAAAAGACATCAGTACCATAAGTGGAAAACTAGTACACTTGCCTTTGTAAGTGTAATTGTAAAATAAATGAGAACAAAATAGTGTTATGAAAATCTAGCTAGACACTGAGAGCATGATCTCCTTTTGTTAAAAGGGGAGTTTGGCAGGTGTGTTAAAGACAATCTGGAAACAAACTGAGCCATTCTCCTTGACATATTCAGATTTGAAAGGAGATTGAAAAGGGAAGTAAAAAGTGTGAATACTGGCAAATTATTCCCCATATACTTCCACTCCTGCACCTGGCCCCCAAACCCTCCCTCCTGACCTCCATGCTGTCCCTTGACCCCCCTCCCCACCTGATAATTGGACCTCAAAGCTCAGGGCAACGTGGGGGCCATTCACACTGAAGGTGGTCCCTAACTTCCCACATGGAGCAGAGAGGCCCCACTCCTGCTTCAACTGACTGTATGCAAACTAGAAATAAACTTCTTTGTGTTAAGATCCTGGAATTTCACGGTTTGTTTGTTACATCAGCGAGCATTACCTTCAACACAACTATTTCCCGTGATTCCAACTTAAAAGCATCTCTGGAGAGGATGGAGAAGGATAAACTCACAACTTTGGGAACTTCTGCTTTAACCCCATGATCTGACCCCTGGCTGGGTGGGGGCTCCAGAAGGGAGGCCACCCCACCTTCTTTGAAATCGAAAATGTTGTACAAGCCTGATATTGATGGAGGATGGAGATTTGTCTGTGGCCCTTGGATCACCACCTGTGACAGCCTCAGCCCCCAAGAGCCCCTCACCTTCCTGGGCTCTGTCATATTGGCCACATGGATGGTGTAGATGCCACTGGCATTGGCCCCGAAGCGCTGGATCTCTGCACAGTCCTGGAACACCTGCTCAGCTGCCATAATGGAGGCTACAACAGGACAAAGCAAAAACAACCAGAGGTGAGCTAAGGAGAGAGGGGAGGGGCCCGGTGCGCGCTCCTGCCTGCTCTGTACCAGGTTCTAGGTGGGAATTGCTGGGGACAGGGAAAGGAATCGCACCTGGGAAGGTTTCCTAGAGAAAGTGACAGTGAGCTGGGACCTGGGTAAAGAGCAGGAGTTGCCCAAGTGGTGATGGACAGGGTGTTCCAGGCAAAGGGAACAGCATATGCAAAGGCCCCAAGGTGGGAACAGTCCTGGTGTGTGCAGGGAGCAAGGTGTGGTCAGGGGAACTGAGTGAGGCCGGGAGGGGAAACAACTCACACCGTGAGAACAGGGCTGAGGCCAGAGAGAGCTCGGGGAGTTCGATCAATCCGAGGGGAGCAGGGCAAGGCTGGCTCAGAGAGGACACACGAGGCCGAAATTTCAGCAGGGGCCAGGTCAGCCTTGAATGCCAGGCTGGGAACCCAGACTGTGCCGAGGAAGAACACTCTGGCCAGAGTGTGGAGCAGAGAGTAGAGGGGATATGACTCAGGGATGAGGCTGCCAGAATCTTTCAGGAGAGGGTAATTGGGGCCTGAACTCCAATGGGGTACTTCTCACTTCCACAGGGCAGAAAACTGAGGTCCAAGAGTGAAGTAACTCGCCCAAGGGCACACGGCTGGCAGAGGCAGAGCCTCCTCTCGCCTCGGGGATTTGTCCTTGGAGCACCCTTGCGGGAGAGGCCCAAGGTCCCCCTCCATAGCCTACTTCTCAGCTGGACATCCCTGCAGCCCTGGGAGCTGACCACCGGTCTTAAGAGCCCATATTTCTTCTCTCAGGAGACTGTTAACGACCAAATCCCATTGGTGCCCTGGGGCTTCAGGCCTGGCCTGAAAAATGTGACTGTTGACACATAAACAATGAGGGCTTCAAGTTCTCCTCTCTGTCTCCTTTTAGTGGGATCCAATTAGAGGTTTGAGCTGCTGAGTCCACCAGAATCCAATCTCTAGGTAGGTGGTAACCAAGGATGGGGCTAAAATAACAGATGGATCGGTAGCCTCACCAATGAGGAACCAGAGGGCTACCAGGGGGCAGGACTTCCTGTGTTGGCCTCATCCTTGAACCTGGACCCTAGGTCCTGGAGCTGGTGTACCTGGCAGAAGGAGGCAGTTTTTCCTAGATCACAAATGAAGTGACTAAGACCCCAAATCATTCCCATAAACATTCCCTGGGCAGAGTCTCTGCGGCTCCAGCTCTCAGCACTCTGGCCCGTGGGAAACTGCAGCCCAGCCAGATCCAGGGAAAGTGCAGGCCTAGAGGTGAACAGGGACAGCCCCGCTTCACCCAGCCCGGCGAGGCCAGAGTGGGCAGCTGGCCTCAGGTTTCCAGTCGGCCTTCCCAAGGCTCTGTCCACTATTGTTTTCCTTAGTCAACAACATAGCGATAAATAATAACAACAGAAGTGAAGTATCTATTATGTATTGAAGTGTTTCTTAGCCAGGTGCTGCCTGGGGTCATTTGGGGTCAGAAGAAATATTTTCAGCAGGTATAAAAGTAAGAATGGGCTGGTATTGATGTCAATGTAGTTTGGCCCCAGCCTCGGTCCTTTTGAATCTCTAGGCTGGTGATTTGTACAGTATGGACCCATTTTGGTCCTAGACACTGTGCTTAGCCCCTTCATGTACATGGACTTATCTGATCTCTGTGCAATCACTCTGTGAAATAGGTGCTATTATTATTCCCATTATATAGGTGAGGAAAAGTGAGGCTCTGAGATGTTAAATGACTCAGGCAAAGTCCCAGTTCTAGTAAGTGAAGAAGCCAGGGATTGAACTCTGCTCCATCTGACTGCAAAGCCTGTCAGTTCCCCACTTCCCACTTCCCCTTGGATCTCTGCCACTGAGCCTACATAAGGCTGAGCAAGCAGACTGTGTTAATGAATGCTGCTTCTGATGTTGTGCATGCATTGGGTTTTTTCTGCCTGTGCCCCTGTCCTTCTAACTTTCTGGACATCCTGAGTTCTCCATCCGTTGCCAGCTTCCACCTCCCTAGGACAAAGCAATGCAGGCTTCCTCCTAAGCTTTAAGGATGCCTGGTTCCTGCGCCTGTCTCCATCCAATCTTCTGTTCTGCACCTGCTGGCTAATCCTCTTTCAGTTTCTCCATTTAGACAGAGAAGAGAAACAGTGCCCTACAGCCCTTCCCTGGTGACAGTGCAGCAGAAGAACAGGGCCTTTGGGCAAAGGGTGCCTAAGGGGAGGTGCCCAACACGACTTCCCCTCAGACTGGTGAGCAGACATTGGGCCATGGAGGGAGACTGGGCTGGTGTGAGCCTGAGGGGAGAGGCGTTGTGCCGGGACCCTGTGGCCTGGGCCGAGCTACAGGAAACCCACGCATGGGATTAATGTGGGCAGCCTCCCTGCCAGGGCAATGTACCAGTTGGTGATGGGTTTGGGTCACTCTGTATCCCATGGTTTGGAAGATGGCTACTTCTCCTGCCTATCGCTTGCTAGGGTCTCAAACCCTTATCCAGAGGTGTCTGCTCACTTAGATGGAGCCATGGTGCCACCCTCTGCTCCCAAATTGCTGCCAGCCACAGTTCCTGGCACCCAACAATATTTCTAGGCTCCTTGTGCTATTAAGGCTTTCCAGATTCCCCTATCGCGATCCAGTAGCGGTAGGAACCCTTTCCTGTGTCTTTCTCTCTCCTCCACTCCATGGTTCCTACCCAGCTTCCTAAAACAATCCTACCCTGTTCACAGTTCCCCAGGGACTCTCCACTGCCCTCAGGTTCAAGTTCCCTTTCCTTAGCACAGCATTTTTTAGGCCTTTCATGGGCTGGAAAGTTCAGAAGAAACACTGCTAGCAGAACATCTGGTGCATAGTCGGCACTCACAAATACGCATTTCCTTCTTTCCCTCTGAGACCCACAGGCAGGGCGGGTGGGCGTTTCTGCCAGAGACACAGGCCAAGACCATGGCGCTCACTGCTGTCAGCCCAGCACCTAGCACTGCACCTGGCACACAGTGTGTGCTCAGGAAGTGTTTGCTGACTGCGTGATGGAAGCTGGAACCAGGGATGCCCTGGCCACCCCTGGCGAGCCCCATTAGAAGGAGCCAGTGAGGAACAGGGAGCTGGCCCATGCAGTGTTCTCTCGGCTCAGATGTCAGGGCCAGAGGTGCCCCCTCACTTCTGTTTGGCCCTCTTGAGCTTGTGGACAAGGGTATTAAGGTGAGAGAAGTCCTTAGGGAGGCACTGAATCCAACCTCCCCATTCTGTAGGTAGGGAAACTGAGGCCCAGGGAGTGGTGGAGCAAGCCCAAGAAAGTGGGAATGGAGGATGGATCCTGGAATCCAAAACTGTTAGTCTAAGCTGGTTATCCTTGTTATGATCATCATTTCCATTAAACAGATGGGGAAACAGGCCAAGAGAGGGACAAGGGCATGCCCAGGGTTACTCATAGAGTCTGGGAGAAGAATCTGGACTGGTTCCTGTTGGGACTGTTGGCTTCAGTATTATTGTTGCATGTGGTTATTTCCCTTTCACCGGTGATGGGAGAACGGTGAGGCCTTCCCAGGGATGGCTTCCTGGCCCAGACCGTAAGCGGCGTCTGCGGCCAACCCCTCCTGCCCTCCTCCCGCACCGTGCGGACCCCGCTCACCGGTGCCCTGGGCCACCAGGCGCAACAGGTGCTGCACCGACTCCAGCAGCTGGTGCTGCTGGAGCTGCAGGAGGTTGGAGTTGCTGCTGGCCGCACGCAGGCTGCGCTCAAGGTTGGCGAGGGCGCCGTTCTGGCGGCTCAGCAGGCGCCGCAGCTGCTCCTTCTGCCCGCGGAGGCTGGCCAGCTCCGCCTGCTGCTGCGTCTCCAGCGCTTGCACCCGCGACTCCAGCGCGCTGAGGGGCGGGGCGGGGCGCACAGGGGTGAGCCCGCCGTCCCCAGAAGGCAGCCACACTGTCTCACTTTCCCCTGGGTCCCAAGGTACCTCCGCGGTACAGATCGGTGCTGAGGCTCAGAGAGGTAGAGCGCTGGCTCAGGGCTGCAAAGCCCAGAGGTCCGTGGCGCAGAATGAGGATTGGAGAAAAGAGTAAGATGGATTTGGGTCCAGTACAGAAAAGAAGTAGGAGTGGGAGGAACAGGCCAGCGACCAGGTAGCCAGGATAAATCCCAAATCCGCTCGTCCTTTGATCCAGCATCCACTCTCAGGAAGTAACGTCCGGGGAGCAAGGGCAAGAATGCCCGTCGGGGGGCGGGTTGTAATAAGGTAAAACAAAACAGCCTAAGTGCCCAGCCGCCAAAGGCTCGCTGAGAGTGTTCTGTTTGGTGTTCCCGGAAATATTCTGGAGCCACAAGGAGGAAGAGGGCAGAGTCATTTGCACAGAATTGGAAAGATGCTCAGGACTTGGCGTGGGGCGACCCTCGCACATCAGTGCCTCTAGTCTTAACCGCGGATGTGGGAGGATAAAAAAGAGAGAAATAAGACAAAAGTATAGTGTAAATATACAGGGCCGCAGGTGAACTTACAGGAGAAGGCACGGAAAGACAGTGGAAGGACACAGTGATGCTCCTGCAGTAAATAAAGGGAAAGAATTCCCCCCCCGCGGGGGCGGGGCGCTGCTTCTGCGGAGCAGCTTGGAGCAGAGGGCACTGGAGAGGAGAAGAGGGGGCTGGTGGGGGGCCAGCTTCCCCTTTCATGTATACAGGTCTCTGCTGTCCGATGATATGAATATGAGGCTTTTTTCTGGTAATGAGTTTTAAAAAAGGAGAGGTGGGGGTTTTTTTTGTTTTTTGTTTTGTTTTTTTAAAGGAGGGCTTTTGACTCAGAACTTTCATGGCTGGCATTTTATCCCACAGATATGCTCACGTGTGAGCTGGGAGACATGGAATGTTATTCATTGCATCACAGGCTGCAACTGTAAAAAATCAGAAACAACCTCAATACCCATTAACTGGGGATGTGGGAATGAATGCAGGGACAGATGTACCACAAGGGTGTCCTGTACTTATAGAACCATTTCCATGGTAATTGAAACAAAAACCACAACCCATTCAAAACCAAGGTGCAGAAGAGTGGGTTTACATATGGGTTTAAATAGGACAAAAAGGGAATTTTTTAAAAACTTATTTATAAGAAATCTGGAATATCAGCTTATAGAATGTCAGCTTTACCAGGACAGGAATTTTTCTGTATTTGTTCCCTTCTGTAACCCCTGGGTCCATAATAGTGCCTGACACATCGTAACACCTCAAAAAATTATTCCTTTTTTTTCCTTCCAAAATATAGTGTTGGTTGAATGGACAGAAAGACACACAAGAAACCAGGAACAGTAGCTACCTCTGCTGTGGGTGGGTGGCCGAGGGAAATTGAGAGATTTTCTTATATGTCAGGTTATGCTGACTCATTCTCCAGACTAAAACACAAAGTCCAACCAGGGCAGAAGGAATTTCCCCTGGATCCCAAATTATGTTGTAGGAACAGAGGGAATTTGGGCACACCCAGATTCCAGAATTTCAGCCAACTCCAGGGACCAAGAGCTTATTGATGATATCCATCTTCACTGATTTCTAGGCACTTCGTGCCAATCCAGAGTGATGGAAAGTGCCCTCCCCCACCTTGAGGTGGGAGAATAAGAATGAGAAGGTGACAAGCTATCATTAACTGCACCCAAGTCAGAGGGAGTTGAGCGATACTTATGGACTTATCTTGACCCATCACATGAGCAACAATAACACCTCGCCCTGTACACAGGCCTGTGGCTGCCTCTGTGTGTGGGTTTTGCCTCCTCCAGCACCCTGACCTTGGCAGTTTTTTCTCTACTCAGCTTGAAACTCAGATGAAATCAGTCTCGGATGTCTGCTTCTCTGCCTTAGCTATATTCTGTGACTCTTTTCTTCCTTTGTAATGTAAAGGGTGTTCCTCCCATGCGTATTTGCGTATAAATGCAGAGATTCTCCCTCCACTAGTGTAGACAAGAAACCGGTAATTGTGGTTGCTTCTGGGGAGGAAAGTTGGTGAATGAGATCAGAGTTATTTCTTTACAAGTAAATGAATCAAATTAAAATTTACAGGGCAAATTGAATGGTATGTAAATTGTAACTCAACAAAGCTCTTAAAAATTTATGAAATAAATAAATGGAGAAAGGAAAAAAAAGAAAGAAAAAGGAAGGAAGGAAGGAAGGAAGGAAGGAAGGAAGGAAGGAAGGAGAAAGAAAGAATCAGGGTGTCCTGAGCTCCAGGAAAACGCCTGCCCCTGTCCCCACCCAGGGCTGGGAAACCAGGCCCTACAGCACCTGGCCCCCAGCCCAGCCCCCGCCCAGCCCCTGTGTCCACCTTCACTCCTCGCTGCAGCCTGGTCTCCACCCCTGATTTGAGTCCTTACCCCTGCCCTGGCCTAGTCCCAGCTGTAGCTCTAGCCATAGCCCCCAAATAATCCCTCACTCCAGGCCTAATCCAGGTCTCTAGCTCTGTCCCTAGCCTCTGTTGCAAGCACCAACCCAAGTCCAGCCCCCAACCCTGGCCCTGGCTCTCAGCTTGGGCCCTAGCCCCTCTCTTGGCCTGGTGCCAATGCCCACCTGTTGTGGTCCTGCAGCTGGTAGAGCTCATGGCCCTGTAGCAACAGCTGCTTCTCCAGCTTGTTGGTGGACAGTGAGGTCTCCAGCAGCTGAATCTTCATTCTTGATGTCTGGTTCAGTACCTGCCTCGGCAAGCAGGAGGGGGTGGGGGGTACTGTATAAGCCCAGCAGAAGGCCTGCGCAGCAGCTGCCTACCTGCCCACAGGCTTGACCATTCCAGAAACTTGCTGATCTGTCTCCACCCTCCCAGCAGTTAGTTCCTGAGGTTGTTCATTCATTCACTCACTCACTCACTCACTCACTCACAGGCCCTAACTGAGTTCATAATCTGCTTCCTAAATTTGCTCTTCCCATCACTGCTGCTCAGGCAGGCTCCAGGAGGACTCACCCTTGACCTCCACACCTAATCTATCAGCAAGTCCCATCAGCTCCATGTTCCAAATGGCTGCCTGACCTCCTCCCTGCCCCTGCGTGGCCCCCACTCTGGCTCTGGCCTCTGTCATTACTCGTTCTGTGTCCTGTGCCAGCTGTGCCCACCCTTGTCCCCTACAGTTCATTCTCTGCTCAGCAGCCTGAGGCAGCTTTTTAAAATGTGGCCCCTGCCCAGGCTGGTGTGGTTCAGTGGACTGAGCGCGGGCCTGCGATCCAAAGGGCAGCTGGTTCCATTCCCAGTCAGGGCATGTGTCTGGGCTGCGGGCCAGGTCCCCAGCAGGGGGTGCATGAGAGGCAACCACACTCTGATGCTTCTCTCCTTCTCTCTCTCCTTCCCTTCCCCTCTGTCTAAAAATAAATAGATAAAATCTTTAAAACGTGGCCCCCTGCTCAAAATCTTCCTGTGGCTCCCACCTCATGAAGTGGAGGAGCCCAGTCCTCACCATGGCCTTCAAGGCCCTGTGATGCCATCGGCCCTATCACCTTTCTGACCCCTTGCCCGCCGCTCGCCCCCTCGCCACTCCAGCCACTCTAGTCTTCTTGATGTCCCTGCAGCTTGCCTGCCTGGTCCCATCTCTGGGCCTTTGCACACGCTGTTTTCCCTGCCTGGACTGCTCTCCCAGCAAGTGCTGCCATCCTACCTTCTAGTGGTGCCTGACTGGCCTGCCTGGGCTCAGGTCCTAAACCTGCAACTCATCCCAGTGGCCACTCCCACCACACGTGGGGGTGGGATGCATATCTGTTTTATTTAGTGCTGTAAGCTACAACCAGGCCCCTCCAGCAGTGCCTGGCACATGGTAGGTGATCAACAAACGCATGCCCTTTGTCAGTCACCTTTCATCCATTCACTTTCTCACCTCTGACTTATACAGCTATTTCCTCTCTGTCATTGGCCCCCTGAGGTCTAATGAATTGTTTGCTATCCACCTCCCCTGGACCCCTGTGATCCCCCCCGGGGTATGGGAGTATGCTGTCCCTTTATCCCAGTGCCCAGCACAGACCTGGGCATTGGAGTCACAGAGGCCAAGGAGCCAAACCCAGTGTCACCCCCAGGACTCATGGCCTGGTGGGAGATGATTTTGTGACAGCGTCATTGGGAGGGACCCCAGGGGGATTACACACCCAGAGGAGGCCCTGACATTACCCAGGAACAGAGGTCAAAGCAAGATGACCAAGGCTGGCTGTGAGCCAGCCTGGTTGGCCACAGGCCCCCGAGGCCGCCCGCTCACCCTCTGGTACCTGAGCCTCCACGTCAGTCAGCTTGCGGGTCCGGGCAGTGGTCTGGTTCAAGAGGCTGGTGCCCAGCTCCAGCATGGTGGCCGTCTGGTTCTGGACTATATGCTGGTGTAACTGCGCCAGCTCCGGCCTCAAGTTCCTTTGGATGTACCTTTCTAGCTGTGGGGAGACCATGGGCTGAGGTCATGGGCAGGGGCTAGGGGACGGCTCCTGTCCCTTCTGTGTCCATGAAAGACACAGGATAAACAGGAGGGGCCTCTCTGCCATGCCAGGCCACCATTACTTCTCACCTGGGCTGGCTCAACAGCTTTCTCTCTGGCCTTTCTGCCTCAACTCTTGTCTCTCTCTGCCCAGTTCATCCTCCACTCAGTAGCCAGAGGGATCCTGCTAAACCTAAGTGAAATCACATTCTTCCTCTGCTCAAAACCCTCTCAGGGTTTCTGTTTTACTCAGAGAAGCCAAAGTCTGCTCTGACTATAGCTTCTTATATGACCTGACCTCCCGCTACCCTTCTGATCTTTTCTTTTACTCCTCCCTTCCTCACTCGCTCCAGAAGAACTGGCCTCAATGATATCCCTTCAACACAGCAAGCATGCTCCTCCCTCAGGGCTTTGCACATGCTGTTCCCGCCACTTAGAAGCCCCTCTCCCCACCATCCTCATTAGCATGGCTCACTCCCTCATGTCATTTCAGGTTTTTCTTACCACTTATCAATCCCTGATAAAACATAAATTACCTATTTATCTGTTTTACTCTTAGAATGTCAATTCCATAAAGCCAGGAACTTGGTCCTGCTCACTCCTTTACCTCCATGTCTAGCACAATGCTTAATGCACTCTGGGTGCTCAGTAAATGTGCATTCAATGCATTAATAGAAAAGAGGAGCAGCCAGGATCAGCAATAGCCCACAAAGTCATGCCCATTATCCAGCCTCCTAAGCGAGAGCCAGCAGCAGAGAGTGGGGACTCATCTTTCCCAGAATTAGTGTTTGCAGATCTATCTGCCAAACTGAGCTTTTTATTTTCCTCACTCTCCGTGTGCCAAACAGGGCTGATCCAGCCAGGCTCCAAGGGTTCTCCCAGCTTGAAAGTTCTGGGATCTGACAAGATAATGTTCATTTCTTTGACAGGGTTCCCGCCCGCCCCCCGCCATGAGCAGGATAAGTTGGTCTGGCTGTGACACCAGGATCAAGTCCCAAAGGTGAACAGTGTGTTCTCAGGGCTCAGTGCCCCTCCTCCACTCCCTCTCCATTCTGCACACATGCTGGTCTCTTGCCACTCCCCCTCCCCCAATACCCTCTCCCACCTTCCTCACTCTCTCCCTCAGTCTTTCATGAGGTCCCTCAGGGCAGCTCCCAGGGTCCCTGGGAAGACTGGTTCTCCCCAGGGAGAGAGGTGGCCAGGGAGAGAGAGATGGAGGGCCAGACTCTCCTGCTTCCTCCTCCATCTCATCTCTCCGCTTCCGCCCCAGTGGCCCACTCCCATCCCTCCCTCCCCAGAGTGCTTTTGTATGGGCACATTCCATTGTAGCGCAAGGTCAAATCCTGAAGGGGGCGCATGTGGGCTCACTGGTATTGGTCGGAACACTGGCTCTCAAAGGGTGGTCGCTGGAGCAGCATCTCCAGGGAGCTTGCTAGAAATGCACATTTCTGGGTCTCACCCAAGACCTACTGAATCAGAAACTGGGGTGACCCCCAGCCGTCCGGTGAATCTGATGTGTACACAGGACCCTGAGTGTACAAGTCACCAAGGGGACGGGGGACCAGGAAGACAAGCACTTCCGAGCTTCTCAAGCCTCTGTCCCGTTGACGCCCCTTCCTCTGCTGCACCCTCAGCTCCACACTCATTGTCTCCCGCAACACATAAACATGCTTCAACGGGTCCCATCTAAAAAGTAAAGAAAAAATATCCTGGATCCAACAGATCCCTTCAACTGTGGTTCTAGTTTCTCGCCCCCCTTCAACAATACAACTTCTTGAACAAATTGTCTCCATTTTCTCACCCCCATCCTCCCCCTCACCTTAAAAAAAATTTAACAACATTATTATGGTGTACTTCACACATACAGAAAAAAAAGCATAAAAATAATGTAATAAAAGCTGTGTATTGACCGTGCTCAAGAAAAAAGTATAACCCATCCTGTCAAATCCTGTGCACCCCCTGACTCCCACCTGTCTCCCCAGAGCGGCAACCCCTTTGCTCTTTAACTCGCCTTGCTCCGGCCTCCTTGCCGAGGCGGGGTCCAGGCACGTGGTGGGGTTCTCAGCAGCGGTGAACCCGGATGACCGCTCCCCTTCTCCCTTTTTCTGGCAGCGCTTTCCCCTAGTCTTCCTTCTCTCTCCCCCATCACCTCCTGCCTGTCCCCTCCTTAACCAGGCGCCTCCACGTTGAGCGTGGGTCTCATAGCCTAGTCCTGGGCCCTCGTCTCTCTGCACGTTCTCTCCTGAGGTCAAGGGTCCTTAATGTGAAGAAAACTCGGGAGAGTCCATGAATGTGAATGAGGAAAAAATTATATCTTTTGTTCACTAACCTGTGATTACAATCTGGCATTTTCTTTCATTATGAGCACAGGCCACACACCATAGCGCTATTAGCTGATCCTGGGACTTCATTCCCAACAGAAATCACACATAATTTCATATCGCCACCCACACGTTACAGTACCTTAACACACTGTTTTTGCTCATTATGACCCTGGAATTATGGACATTCTTGTACCCACCACGAAACAGTGCTACGACTAGATCACGGATTTAGTTTTACTATTTCGATTACAATTGCAACATCACTTGGTGTTCTTATGCTTTTGTTTTTTGCATTTGAAGGTATTATTCTGAGAAGCCTTCCATATGCTTCACCCAGGGTCAGATGCCAACGTGTCTGAGGCCACAAATGCACCGGGGCCCTGTAGCAGGTGCTCGGTCGCTCCCAGGACTTTCACAGCCCCCGCCAGACTTCTCCCGTGAATGTCCCACCCACCCGTCTCGGCACGGGTTTCCAAAAAGCACCTCAAGCAAAAGCGTCCGGCATGGAACCCTGGATTCCTCAGAGCCCACCACCCGTCCCTGCATCCCCACCCCGTTCTCCCTTCCTCTTTTCCTTCTCACTAAATGGCCCCGCCCAGCTCTTAAGCCCCAAACCCAGACCCCATCCCGGGCTCTTCTTTTCTCATCTGCTGCACTCAATCCACTAGTAAGTTCTGGCCACTCTGATCCTACTGCGAGTTTTGAATTGGTTCACCTCCCTCCGCCCCAGGCCAGGCTACCGTCATCTCCAGGGGACGGTACCCTCCTGGCGTCCACGCTGCACCTCTGTCGGCTCCCCGGGAGTCCAACATGCGGCTGGCCAGGGCACGCCAGGCTGGATGAGGGTGAGCAGACCTACACTGAAACTGCTCCTGGACTTTCCCATGAGTCACGAGCCTCCTGGGACCTGGTTTAAAATACAGACTCCCTGGCCCTGAGTTCCTGCTCCGCGCTACGAGATAACAAGTTCATTCCTACTATAAGACCTTCTCAGGCATCTCCCCCAAGCCTCTCATTTGCAGATGGATACACTGAGGCCCAGAAGACTTGCCTAAGGTCCCTACTTGGTAGGCTAGGTCCCAAAACTCCTTGCTCAGGGACTTCCTCAGGTCTGCAAAGCTGGGTGGGACCTCAGGGTAGCTTGGGGTCATCTTGAGTGACAGAAGCTCCCTCAGCACCCTCACTGGTCTCTCACTTGTCCTTTGGCTGCAAGTGGCTGGGTGGGACAAAGGCCACCTGCAGCTGGGGCCCATCACCCAACTTGCAACACTCAGAATGAATTCTGGGATAGGCAATCCAGGCCAGATGGGCCAGTATGGCTAAGGTGGGGCTCCGGTGACTCATGTCAGCCTGTGTGTGTTGGGGGGGGGGCGGTGTCGGTTGTGGACCAGGGCTTGGGAGCCAGATGAAAGGGTGAGGGAAGGGTCCCAGTGGAGGCACCGACATGGGATGGGATCTGCCACGGCCTCCCCCGCGCCCTGGGTCCTGCCCCTTCTCTGTAATCCTCATGCTGGCAAGTTTTCAGGGCTCAGATGGGAAACAGGCGCCTGGACTCCCCAGCACCCTTCCTGCCTGCAAAGAGGCTGATCTTTGACCCCTGGCCTCCCTACCTTTCTTCTTGGTCCTGGGTTTGAGTTCTGGCTCTATTCCTCTCCAGCTGGGGCCTCGAATAGTTGAGGACTACGTTTTTCTGAGCTCCCTTTACCAATGTGTGACATGGGGACGGTAAGCCCTGCTCCTTATCAGGGAGAGGGCATCTGTTTGAAGGAAACGAGAGGAGTTTTGCCAGGCAGGGGCCGGGGGACGAAGCAAGGTATTTCAGAAAGACAACAGAGGAGCATCTGCGATGCGCATTCTCGGTAGCCAAGGCTTCTTTTCTCCTGCACTGTTTAAATAAAAGCTACTACAACTGAGAGCAGATAAACGGCTTCGGTCCATCCATCCAATGGACTCTGCTCAGCAATATAAAGGAACTCTCACAGTGACCTGAATGGCTCTCGGATATACTATGCTGAGCGAAAAAGAGCCAGACTCAGAAGGCTACGTGCGGTTTGATTCCTTTATAGGGCTTTCTGGACAAGTCAGAATCCACGGTTGCCATGGGCTTGGGCCTGGGGGCAAGGACTGACTACAAAGGGACACAAGAACTTTTGGGATTTGGCAATGTCTATATCATGATCGTGGCGGTAGCTACATGGCGGTACCCATTTCTCAAAATGCACAGAAATATGTGTAGAAGGGTGAATTTCACTGTATGCAAAATTAAAAATATAAAAAACAAACCCACCAACACAAGGTTCTTTCAAACATCCCACACATATCATCATAATACATATGTTTTCTCCAAGTAACCCCTCCCTCTGAGTTTCATTCATGTATTCCCTCAGGAATTTTTTCTTGGGTACGTACTACATGCCAGGCCTTTCCTAGGTATTGGGTTGGCCAAAAAGTTCATTTAGTTTTTTTCCTGTACAACGGTTCTAGTAGCTTCTTAATTGTCTTTTACTTCATTAGAAACCATTTTGTGAGATTGTATTGTGACAGCTGTCATGTCAGTGTGCATTGAAAAAATTTTTCAAAATTTGTGAATTTTCGTGCAGCCATTTTAATTTTGAAGATGGAAGAAAATACGCTT